GCACCCAACCTACCCCTTTGCATGCCGCAGGAAGTGGGGCCGGGAGCAAATCGGGGGGGGCGGGGGGGGAGAGGTTCCTGGAGGTCATCTCTGGGGAACTCCAGTCTCTTGCTCCGGAACCCTTTGCTATTTCCCCTCCGGCGGCTCCCTCTCCCTCAGCGCAGGCCTCCGGGTGCCCTCCCTGCCCCTCTGGCCTGAGGCTCCTTGAGGGGAATCCCTGGTGAGCAGGACTGGGCGCTTTGAGGTTGGCCTGACGTGGGGAGGCAGGCGGGCGCGATGCCACTCCCACCACCAGAGGCCATTCCTGGGAGAGCGGCCCCTTGCCCAGCCGAGCCCCATGCAGCACTGGGGGTGTGTGTGTCTGTGGCCTCGCCTGGAGGCGACGCTTTGGGCGCAGGACTGGCGCCAGGGGGTTGGGGCACTGAGCGCCCGGCCACCGTGAGGCGCAGGCGCCGGATCCCGTGGGTGGACGTCTGCGGGGAATGTTGAAGTTGTCATGACTCTGCCCTGGGCAACCTCGTACTACAACTCTTCACGCGGCAGTCTCGTCTGACATGGTGTTGACTGGTGCCTGGTGACACCACTCCTCCACACGTGGCTGTGCTGTTTTGTGACCTTTAAAAAGGAAGAAGCATTGGGTGTTTTTGGAAGCAACGCAAGGGCCGTGGGAGAAAGTGTCTTTTGCAGACACGAATTTTAAAAAGAATTGAAGCATCAAAGGGGAAAGGCTGCACCCACCCCTGGCCATGGAAGCGTCAGGTGCAGGAAGGAAGGGACGGGGATTAAAAGATGTGCGGGACAGGCTCCTCGTAGGTGCAGGAGGGTGCTCAGCGCTTCGTGGAACTGCCCCAGCCCTCCTGGGCAGTCTTTTGTGTGTCCCCCCCCCGCCCCCGCGGGCTCAGCCGGCTGGTGCTTGCAGCTCTGAACAGGCTGGCAAGAGGATGAGCTCCCTGGGATGGGCTTTGCGTCATCGTCGGCGGCCCATTCAGCTTGTCTTGTTAAGGCGAAGGAAAGAGGCCTCCTGGCACCGGGATGGTCTCTTCGGAGGGAGGGAGGGAGGGAGAGAGAAGATGTTTTTTGTTCTGCCAAACGGTTCCATTTCTGGCTGTCCTGCAGCTGTTGCTAGGCCTTGATCCAGATGTTGTTCTGCGGGATCTTTTCCCATGCGCTCCGTGCGGGGGTTGATGGTTGGTGGTTGGGGGCGGGAGGAGGGGAAGCGGCCTGTGGCCGGAATCTTGTTTGCTTTCTGCAATGTGACGTTTGAGGTTTGGTTGCTCCCCCCACCCTGGCCGGAGCGCCTCTTTTCTGGACGGGCTCCTCTGGCTTCTACTCCCAGCAGGCTGTTCGGGAGGGGCGTGAGCCCCACTCCAGCTCCCGGAAGGGACGGGGATTAAAAGATGTGCGGGACAGGCTCCTCGTAGGTGCAGGAGGGTGCTCAGCGCTTCGTGGAACTGCCCCAGCCCTCCTGGGCAGTCTTTTGTGTGTCCCCCCCCCGCCCCCGCGGGCTCAGCCGGCTGGTGCTTGCAGCTCTGAACAGGCTGGCAAGAGGATGAGCTCCCTGGGATGGGCTTTGCGTCATCGTCGGCGGCCCATTCAGCTTGTCTTGTTAAGGCGAAGGAAAGAGGCCTCCTGGCACCGGGATGGTCTCTTCGGAGGGAGGGAGGGAGGGAGAGAGAAGATGTTTTTTGTTCTGCCAAACGGTTCCATTTCTGGCTGTCCTGCAGCTGTTGCTAGGCCTTGATCCAGATGTTGTTCTGCGGGATCTTTTCCCACGTGCTCCGTGCCGGGGTTGATGGTTGGTGGTTGGGGGCGGGAGGAGGGGAAGCGGCCTGGCCTCCCTGGCCGGAATCTTGTTTGCGTTCTGCAATGTGACGTTTGAGGTTTGGTTGCTCCCCCCACCCTGGCCGGAGCGTCTCTTTTCTGGACGGGCTTCTCTGGCCTCTACTCCCAGCAGGCTGTTTGGGAGGGGCGTGAGCCCCACTCCAGCTCCCATGTCCACCCTGTGAGCTTCAGGGAGTGTCTGTGTGTGTGTGTGTGTGTGTGTGTGTGTGTGTGTGAATCCAGTTCCTTTCTGGTGGCGTTCTGATGCAACTCTCTCCCCTTTTCAGATGCTGGGGAGCCAAGAGCCGCCTTTCAGCTCTGAGGCCCACCGCCGGTCCTCGCAAGGGCCCAGGAGGGTCCACGGGGGGGGAGGGCTTTGGGGGCTGCACCAGGCAGATGAGGGGATGATGCCAGGCCAGGGGCCAGAAACGGCGATGGCTGGCCGGTTCCCCTTTGAGGCGCCCTCTCCCTTCCGCCTGGGCATGTCCCCGAATCCATCCTGGCTTCCTATATTGGCATAGGGCCCCCCCTGGGGTGCAGGATGGCATGTGGGGCAGGGTGGGGAGGAGTTCTCATCCAGCACCCCCAGAGGGCACCAGGCGGGAGAAGGGAGCGGGGTCTTTCCCACGGGACGGGCAGAGAGATTTTTCTTTCCTTGTTTGGAGAGGGAGGAGACAGGCTGGCAGGCTGATGACGGGACAAACCTTGTCCCCCGCTGGGACAGGAGATAAAACCCTTATCTCTAACAGCAACCTGATAAGGAAGGCCGTGACCAGGGGTCAGGGAAACCCCATCCCTCCCTCCCATGGCAGTGTGAAGGCAGGGCCTGGGGGGGGGTCCCTGCACGCTCCTCTGGGGAGGTCAAGGACCTCCGTGGGCAGGAGTCACACTGTGAAGTGCTGGGGGTGGAGGGTTGGGCTTTTTGTGGGAGGTGCTTTTTGTGCCTGCTTTCCTCCTTGCGTGGTAGGAAGCTGAGTGGCCCAGAGGCTGTGGGGAGATGGACGCTTACTGGCTTAGCCTCAATCCTCCCTCTCCCCCACCAGCCTCACTTGTCCTCGATTAGCCCCACCATCACCTTTGTCTCTGCCGTCAAGGGTTGATTGCCCAGCGCCTGGGAAGAAGCGAGTCTCTGTGCTGCACCTTGCTTGGCGCATGGGTGGGGCCAGCTGATCAAGTCATGCAGGAGCACATATCCCTGGCTCTCTGGGTTCGAGACAACTCTTGAGGAAGAGGGGGCAGGATTCTGTTTCTCTTTCAGTTTCCCTTAAGAAAGACTCTAGGCATCTCTCGGACAAAACTATAGAGCAGTCCGTTGCCAGACTCTTGGCTGGCAAATGGGGAGCAGAAACACACCACAGCCGGAGCATTTTGTGTTTGCTCTGTGGTCTGCCTCTTGTGGTTCCACCGTCTGGAGAAAGCCCCCCCGCCAAAAAACAACAACCGGTGATCCACTGGCAGAGGTGGGTGGCAGGGAGGAGTCCCATAGAGTACAAACTGGTCTCCGTGGGGTTCTAAAGCAACAGTGTGCTGGCAAATATGGACAGAACAAGAGCAAATCCTGCCAGACTAACCAGATCTCATTTAATGAGCCAGTCCCCTCCCTGATAGACAGAGGGAAGGCTGTAGACTTAGTATATCTTGACAACGTGCTGCATGATATCCCAATGAGCAAGCTAGCTAGGTGTGGGCTGGATAGATCAAGGGTCAGTTGGCTACAGAATCATACTCAGACAGTGATGATTAATGGGTCCTTCTCTAACTGGGAGGAGGTCACATGGGGTACCCCAAGGCTCAGTCCTGGGCCCGGTGCTCTTCAATATGTTTATTAATGACTTGGATAAAGGAGCGCAGGGAATATTTATCAAATTTGTGGATGACACAAAACTGGGTATAATAGGTAATACCCTGGAAGACAGAAACTACATTCAGAATGATCAGGAGAGGCTGGAGCACTGGGCTGAAAATAACAGAATGAAATTTAACAGGGAGACGTGCAAAGTACTACACCTGGGGAGGAAAAACCCAAATGCACAGTTACAAGATGGGGTATACTTGGCTTAGCAATACTATGAGCAAGAAAGATCTTGGAGTCGTCGTAGATCACAAGCTGAATATGAAGCAACAGCGTGATACAGCTACAAAAAAGGCAAATGCTATTTTAGGCTGCATTAACAGAAGTGTAGTCTCCAAATCCCGCGAAGTGCTAGTTCTGCTCTATTCAGCACTGGTTAGGCCTCATCTTTATTCTTGTGTCCAGTTCTGGACATCACACTTAAAGGATGACAACAAACTCGAACCAGTTCAGAGGAGGGCAACAAGGATGATCAGGGGACTGGAAACGAAGCCCTGTGAGGAGGAAAGAATATTTATTTATTTATTTGATTTATACCCCGCCTATCTGGGCATGTTTAGCCTTGAGCAAAGAAGGCTGAGAGGAGATAGGAGAGCACTCTTCAAAAACTTGAAAGGTTGTCATACAGAGGAGGGGCAGGATTTAATCATCCCAGAGTGCATGACAAATAATCGTGGGCTTATGTTACATGAAGCCAGATTTAGGCTGACTATCAGGAAAAAGTCCTAACTGTTCGAGCAGTATGATAATGGAGCCAGCTGTCTTGAGAGGTGTTAAGTGCTTCAACGCTGGAGGCATTCAAGATAAATTTAGACAAACAGATCTACCTTGACTTGGATTTCTGCTTTGAGCAGGAGGTTGGACTTCATGGCTTTATAGGCCCCTTCCAGCTTCATGACTCTATGATAACTGAATGTAAAGGAAGACCTTAGGGTATTCAATGGGGTATTTCTTTAATTGCTGCCCTATGAAGTTTGATTCCTGATGTCACCTTGCATCTCGACAAGGTTTTCCAGGTATGTGAGATATTTAAGGAGCGGTTCTACCACTGCCCCCACCTCCGCCATCATCTTCAATAACCAAGTGTAGATTCGAACCCAGGTCTTATGAGTTTGAATCCATCACTCTCTCATTTATACCACACTGACAGCTCTTACGAAGCTTACCAACCTATTTTTAGACCTTTATGTTCCTCACCCTTTCCTGTTCAAAACAATTCTCCCTCTCTCCAAAGACTTCTGATGCTGCATGCCCAGAAATAGCTGGCCAGTGCAGCTGTTCTTGTGTACAGGAGAACACCGGCAGTTTTTAGCGACTGCTACGTGGCTAAAGGTTCTTCCAGCTTTTGCTGCAGCCACTAGCCATGGGTTGCATAACTATCAACCTTCCGGGCCCGTCTTTCTTGAGGAAGAAAGAAACAGCGGTCCAGCTCCCCAGCGTAGGTCAGCAGTGTCATGCAGCCCCCAAAATAGCTAAGGACGTTCCAGCCAGCCTCAGCAGAAGCCTTGTGTCTGGATCAAGGGAAGTAAAAGCACCCACTCTGTTGCGAGTTGGATACCTGGCTGTGGAACCGGAGGTCAGGGGTTCGATTCTCCCACCGCGCATCCCAGGAAAAAGAGCCAGACTGTACGGTCTTGGGCCGTCCCAGGAGAAGGGAAGGGCCCACCTGAGTACTCAGGTGTACTGAGCACTGAGCGTTGTTATTCTTATCATCCTGCCTTGGTCACACCTCAACCGGAAAGAGGAAGAGCTGGCAGCGAATCCCTCGGAGGACGGGGTGACGGGGTGAGGGCTGGGTAGGTTGAGCCCAGTGGCTACCCAGGGGGACTCTTCTCCCTGGAAGCCCTCACGGGGAGGGGAGGGGAGGGGAGGGGAGGGGAGAGGCTTGGCAGCCCCATGGTCTAGAGCGCCGTGGCCCCGTTGCTGTGCCACAGGGCACCAAGGCAGGTGAGGGGGCTGGCTTTGGTGCCCGATCAGGCAAGGTGTTCCTCTGCCCCTCACAGGTGCAGGCACCGTCCTGCTTGTGGCCAGCTGTCCAAGGGGCGCCTGGCTGGCACAGCCCTGAGGCCCCACAGCTGACCCCTTGGGCCTTGGGGGTGCCTGTCAGACTGTGGCTGCCTAGGGCAGCTCCCTCCTGCTTGGGTGGGTTGGCGCCCTGCCCCCTTGGCTGCCCCCACTTCCTAACGCTTTGCCTTGCCACCCAAACGTTGGGCCTGCCCAGGGGAGGAGGGAAGGGGGCCCTGGCTGTCAGCCTTCACTAACGCCTGCTGCCTTTTTTCTGCAGAGAAAGAGAGGCGCCTCCGTGCAAACGACCAAGCCTTCAACCTGCAGTTTGATTATGCTGTAAGTCAGGAGGCACACATCTGCTGGGGAGTCAGGCCTCACAGCCCCACGAGTGCTTTGCCCCTTGAGCAACTCAGTTGTGGGGCAGGACCTGAGAGGCCACCAGAGTTTGGTGTGAAATGCAGCCTGGATGGATTGCTTGAGCTCGTGCAGGAGTTTGGAGCTGAGAGAGAGAGAGAGAGAGAGAGCTGTGCAGGAGTTTGGAGCTGAGAGAGAGACAGAGAGAGAGAGCATCTGTTCTCCCCATTCACCAGATGGCGAGGGTCTCTGGGCTGGGGGTGGAGAGGATGAGAAGGCCTTGGGTCTGAACAGGGGAGCATCTCACAACTCGGCCCAGGAACCTCTCTTGAAATCCAGCATCCATATCCCAAGAATGTTTAAAGGGACATCCTGGGAGGAATCCTGTCTCAGCTGCCGGCTCCTCGTGCCCTGAGACGGGAGGGCAGGAGGCCTGACCCCCCCCCCATGGGTTGGTGGCCTCTGCAGAAAAGTCCCCTTGGAGGCTCCTTCCGGGCCTCTCCAGAGCGTGGCCGCTGCTCTTTGTTTTGGGCCTGTTTGGGGACGGAGTCCCGGGAAAGGAAAGGGCCCCTCTCTTTGGCCAGACGGCCGGCCTCTGCGGTCGCTTTCTCAGCCTCCGTCTTGCTCCGTGCGTCTGGGCAGGACTCTGCAGGCAGCTCCTTTCGTGGCTAGGTTCAGGTGCAAGAGCCCCTGGGGACCATAGCCAGGAAAGGGGGCTTCTCAAAAGACAAGACGCCCCATGGAGAGGCCCCTCTCTGTTTTCCCCTTTCATGGTGTGGCACAGAAT